TCAACGTCGACTGGAACCAGCACGTCAACAAGTACAGGTACCAGCACGTCAACGTCTACTGGTACCAGCACATCAACAAGCACGGGCACCAGCACATCAACGTCGACTGGAACCAGCACTTCGACATCAACTGGGACTTCTACCACTACTTTCACATCTACGAGCACAACAGTTGCTGACATGCCCAAAGCAGTGAACCCACAGATTACTGGTTGCACTGACCTGACCGAACACGTGGTCCTGGAGGTTCAGTCTCCTGCAAAGTGTTCCGGTACTGGTCAAGTTTCTTTGAAGATGAAAGGCTTCGGTGATGTTGACCTTTTGGATACCTACATTCAAGGCAATTTGGCAGTTATCGATGTCGATGATGTCTCATCGCAGAGAGCTGTTGAGAAGATCAGCCTGGAAGTCACAGATTCAAACGAACACAATACTCATAGGGTGGAGATGACTCTTTTTGCTGTCGGCATTTGCACCCATACAGACTTTTTGCAGCTATTGTTCCCAGCAGGTTCCAGGATCAAAATTCTCAAAAACTGCGAAGCAAAGGCTGTCACCACCACCACAACTACCACCACTGCCAAGACTGTCACATCTTCTGCAGACTTATGTACCGATTTGACTCAAGGCTTGACACTGGTAGTGGAATCAACAGCTTTCTGTGCCACTGGAAGCGACCATGTGACATGAATGCAATTAGTGCGAACTTGAAAACAGGTACTTGCACTGCTGGATGTACAAAAGGATCTAGAAAGTATTAGAACGTGATTTTTGTATATGTTTGTTACCCCTCATTCGGGGACCTGTTGAATTGGACCCTGCAGATGTTGGTAGTAGGGGACTCCTGTTATATCATGTTATATCAACATGAACAATAAGCATTCTTCAGGACTCCAAGTATTAGCACTAGGCACACTGACCAATCAGACTAAGCCGACAGAAGGATCGACAGGATCAGGCCACACGTGCATTTAGAGGAGCATGATGATTCATGTACGCCACAGTACTGTGACACCTACTGGGGCTAAGAGCTTGGTTGCCCGTACTTTGTTTGTACATGTTGATACGATATCTGGGTTCTTCTTAGATTGACATCAAGTCAGCAAGAGATTTGTTCTTGGACTACCAACAGATTATTTAATAGAATGACATGTCTAGGAGTCTAGGTGGATTCCTTGGACCTATTGTGCAAGAATTTGGAATGTTGCGATGCTTGTGACATGGCCTCCAACCTAATAGCGTGCCTGGGTGTGTGTGTGTGTGTGTGTTTGTTTTATTGCTTCAAAGGTGACTATGAAGCTTCGTGGAAGTGATCCACTTGAAGCGGACATTGAGGATGCAGACTTGGCCATTGTCAATGCAAATCGAAAATCCGTCCAAGAGTCAGTGCAGCGAATCATTTTCGAATCGGATGGAGATCTCATCACAGTTGCTCAGCATGAAAGAAAAGGCCTGACATTTGTTTTTTTTGGAGCAAACGAGGTAACAGATGCATAACAGCTTCTGCAGCCCTCAATGAAGACGTTCGGAGGATGACAAGAAATCCGTGAAAAGGGAAAAGACACCAATCCCCAACACAGTGCAACAAGAATGTATCACGTGCTTCCAAGAATGTTCGGTCCATGTTCTCCTTGAAGGTAGCAGCACTTTTCGAAGAGAGACAAAGAGGACACATGAAAGAAGAACTGAATCTACCACAATTTGCTTTGCTTCAAGAGTTTCTAATGAACCTAAAGATGTGCAAAGATGTGGCTGTGGGTCAAAACCCGGTTGCCTTGGTTGGTCTACCTCGGGGGTCATATTCCATGGTGGTGGGGCTCCAGGTTTTGAGCCATCCCCATATTATTCCTGTCTATTTCTGTATCACTGAAGCCCCCAGTCTTCGCTGAGGCCAAGCTGTACGCCCCTGAGATTTGCGCCGAGGCTCAGTTCATGGGATTGACGTTCCCTGAAAAATCTCCGGTCCGTGTAGTACAGGGCTGCTCAGTGACGACCACCACCACCACCACCACCGTGACCTGCACAGACCTGACCAAGGGGTCGGATTTGGAGGAATCCTGGCAGCAGTCGATCATGCTTACATGTTGCTTGTCATTTCGGGTTTCACTAGCAGTCATAGTCAGTTGTAATCATTATTATTCATTATTCATGTTTAATGGTCTTTCCTTGTTTGTTACGGAGCCCCCCTTCCCCATTTACCGTTTGCCTTGTGTGTTCATGGGACTTGCAAGGTGAACGCCTGGTCCGGATGCACCGATGAAGCTGAGTATGCAGTGATCGAACTAAACGGCACCATACCGCTTGACATCGTGATGGAGGATGCAGACTTGGCATTGGTCAAAGCTTCAGCTACCCATGTACATCAATCTCTGAGCAAGCTCATTCTAGAGGATGAAGAGGATGGCACTGTCACAGGCAAGTTGTACGCTCCGGACATATGCAAGGAGCTTAGTTTGGTATAACGTTTTCTTTACGCAATGACCTGTTCAGACTTTTCCCGCAATGGAAGCAATTACAAGATGTATAAGTTTATAAGGCAGAACATATGAGCTTAAGAAGCTTGGATCCAGGTTTGGAAGCCTGACTAACTAGTTTGAACACCATGTTCCTTTATATACATGATGGCAGACATATGTCGAGATGGATTTGGATGGAATGCAGAGAGGTGAATGCAAGAACCAGCACTCAAGCTGGACTTGTGAAACAGAATAACCACTATATACATGTCAGTAGAGTTTTCAAATTGGAAGGATTCTTTCAAGTCTCCAGAAGCAAGATAAGAGCGACTATTTGGAGAAGCTTGCTGCTGTACTCATTTCTAGCAGGTTGGCAGGAAAGGCACTTGAAGCAAGCACGTTAAATTGATGTTATTTTGCTGCGTAACGTGCATGCTTCTGACTAAAGTCCCACAAACAATGTTCTTGCTCCAAATGCCTCTCAAAATTTGTTGGGTGAGGCAAGGGCTGTTTTCTCGCTTCATTTGTTTCTCATCCTTTGATTGTTTTCTGATTTGATGTTTGCCCGGTCTCGGCTCCTTAGTTGGCTTTCTGAATCGACGGCTGAAACACCATTTGGAATCCATTCAGTGTCGCAGTTCGTTGCTTTAGTCTCCAGATGTCTCCAGTATTTGCTGGACTCTTTAGTGCATCCAACCTACTAGCGATGACCTCCGACCGAGTCTGAGTTCTCTCCGCTCCTACTTTATGTGGCTGCTCCATGTTCCCAACAGCTGTGGTTTCTCATGGCCGACAATCCACCTATCCACCATAGGTACATATAGGATCATATATATATATATATGGTACCCCCCCCTGAGATCCACACTTCATGGTGTTTCCAACGCTTTTCAAACCCAATGCAATGATCCAATGTACATCTGCTTGCCTCAATGCAACCAAACATCTGCTTGCCTCAATGCTACCAAACATTTGCTTGGCTCAACGCAACCAAAACAGTGTCCGGGCATCGAATTTCATGTTCTTTACTTAGACAAATTCAGACTTGGGATTTCAGACTTGAGATTCTCAAGTCTGAACAGCTCATCCACGGATCCAAGATCCAAGATTTCAGAAAACTCTTGTCCAGAAATCTTGGATCCATGGATCCAAGATCCAAGATTTCAGAAAACTGTTGTCCAGAAATCTTGGATCCACGGATCCAAGATCCAAGATTTCAGAAAACTCTTGTCCAGAAATCTTGGATCCATGGATCCAATATCCAAGATCCAAGATTTCAGAAAACTCTTGTCCAGAAATCTTGGATCCATGGATCCAAGATCCAAGATTTCAGAAAACTGTTGTCCAGAAATCTTGGATCCACGGATCCAAGATCCAAGATTTCAGAAAACTCTTGTCCAGAAATCTTGGATCCATGGATCCAATATCCAAGATCCAAGATTTCAGAAAACTCTTGTCCAGAAATCTTGGATCCATGGATCCAAGATCCAAGATTTCAGAAAACTGTTGTCCAGAAATCTTGGATCCACGGATCCAAGATCCAAGATTTCAGAAAACTCTTGTCCAGAAATCTTGGATCCATGGATCCAATATCCAAGATCCAAGATTTCAGAAAACTCTTGTCCAGAAATCTTGGATCCATGGATCCAAGATCCAAGATTTCAGAAAACTGTTGTCCAGAAATCTTGGATCCACGGATCCAAGATCCAAGATTTCAGAAAACTCTTGTCCAGAAATCTTGGATCCATGGATCCAATATCCAAGATCCAAGATTTCAGAAAACTCTTGTCCAGAAATCTTGGATCCATGGATCCAAGATCCAAGATTTCAGAAAACTGTTGTCCAGAAATCTTGGATCCACGGATCCAAGATCCAAGATTTCAGAAAACTCTTGTCCAGAAATCTTGGATCCATGGATCCAATATCCAAGATCCAAGATTTCAGAAAACTCTTGTCCAGAAATCTTGGATCCATGGATCCAAGATCCAAGATTTCAGAAAACTGTTGTCCAGAAATCTTGGATCCACGGATCCAAGATCCAAGATTTCAGAAAACTCTTGTCCAGAAATCTTGGATCCATGGATCCAATATCCAAGATCCAAGATTTCAGAAAACTCTTGTCCAGAAATCTTGGATCCATGGATCCAAGATCCAAGATTTCCGAAAACTCTTGTCCAGAAATCTTGGTTCCATCCAGAAATCTTGGATCCATCCAGAAATCTTGGATCCATGGATCCTACACCCAAGATCCATGGATCCAAGATTTCTGGACAAGAGTTTTCTGAAATCTTGGATCTTGGATCCAAGATTTCTGGACAAGAGTTTTCTGAAATCTTGGATCTTGGATCCGTGGATGAGCTGTTCAGACTTGAGAATCTCAAGTCTGAAATCCCAAGTCTAAATTTGTCTAAGTACAGAGCATCCTTTGTCTCCAAACTTCCATGTGTTTATGACCGCAGCAACCTGCTCGAACGTGCTTCAACTCTCTCTTCAACTGTCTGTCTTGACACTATGGCCATTCCTGTGAGCGGGAGCGTCACTTTGAACGGCAGTCAAGCTGTCGTGGTGCTCGATGTCGGTGCTCAGAACGCACCAACAACACCGGGAGCTCCTTTGCAGATCCTGCTGCAGAAAATGATGGATGGACAAATGCCTATCCATGAATCAAGGCTACCCGTCCTCAAGAAGCATTTGGCGGCCATGGTCTGCAATGTGCAGCGTGGCCTCAAATTAGCTCCTGCGGGGCTACTTGGTGCATGGTCCAAGGAAGCGGAAAGCAGATTGTTGACTTTGCTCAAGAAGCCTAAAATGGTGCGGCCACCCGCCGCATGATCGCATATATGTTGCAGGTTGAATGACCTAATTGCAAGGACTTGAGAGCAGTGATTCGGTTCGGTTCGTCTAAGGTCTGTGCTTTGGAGGACGAGAAGGACACATCGCCGTTGGCCTTGCCATCGACTTCAGCCACAAAGGACCTTGCTTTAGCTGCTGCAGCGTGTACGGCATCGTCATCTTCGGATTCTTCTTCCACGAGCTCCTCGGGGTCATCTTCGGAATCTTCGGACGCAGGCGATGAGCCAGGGCCCAATCAAGGCATCATGGCAGAAGCAGATGACACGCATGAGGGTACTCCGAATCCTGCACTGGGTCCTCCCAAGGACGTAGAAACCGATTTCTCAGATGCAGAGTTGGCGGGACCGAATCCTGCACTGGGCCCTGCCAAGGACGTAGAAACGGACTTCTCAGACGCAGACGTGGTTGAACCACCTGCAAAATGTGCCAAATGTGAGTGATATTTGCAACTCCACCAGTATGTCATTCTTCTACATGCCCTCACTGCCAAGAAGGGACTCTTGGGAAGCTGATGGCTGGTGGACTGAAACATCGATGCTCTTCCCGGAAGTGCCACAAGTTTGTGAACCCACACCAGAACCATCCTCTTTTTGTGAACCACTGGGGCTCTTCGTCTACACCACTGGCTACCCAAGCAGCCCTTCTTCTACTTCTACTCAATCGCATTCCTCACGCCGCAGTTCATCGTCTTCTACACATCAACCACAAAACCATTGAAGATATGAGCAAGAGATTGGGCCAGTTGCGGGAATCCTGGTTTGTCAAGGCTGAGAAAAAGATTCGCTTTGGCACTGGTGTGAAATGGGCTGATGTAGAAGCGGACGAGGCAACCTTCGACAAAAAGATGGAAAAGGGACAGCTACACTGGGAGCAATGGTGTGGGATAGTTCAGCGAGGAAAGCCTGATACACTTGTGCTGCACCGCCTCAAACCTCCAGCCTCAAAACTCCGAGCGCCTGGGCCTGGAGCCGTTCGCAAGGTTGAATGGGAACCTCTGGCTGCAAAGTGGCTGCAAGATCGGCAAATCATTCTCCATACAGATTCTGCCAAAAGCTATGCCACCAGTGTCTCTGGAGTCCTGCGCGACCGAGTCGTACACAAGAAGAAGAGAGCCAATTGAACGGGAAGTTCAGGTGGGTGGCTCCGACGTATGTGCAGATCCACAAGCACAAGGTTCCTGGCAGCAAGACGTCTGTAAAGGTGAAGTCAGGCACCCAAATCATCGACCGCTGCTGGCGCTATCTAAAGGATAGGTTGAACATCAACCAGCACTCCAAAGTGGGCAGCGGTTTCTTGCGCATGCAATTATGGTCAGCTCAATATGAGTATTGGCTGAGGGGTCAAGACCTTTGGACCGCAACAAATGGTTCATGTCAGAGTCCTAGCGCAACGAAACAAGGAAAAATGTGTGTGAGGGTTTTCCTCTATGTATGCATCTTGCTGCTCCAACACTGTCTGCATCTTGCTTCTCTAACATTGGTCCCTGTCTTCTGTTTGTCTGCTTCGTCTGTTGGATTCCAATGACTTCAGGCAACTTTTCCCCTACAGGATCTACACTTGGCTTCTTCATTTCCAATGCATCCAAAACCGTTTCCTTGCATCTGATGCACTTCTGCTTCCGTTTTTCTCAAATACGTCTTGGAAACACCATCAAATGTGGATCTCAGGGGGGGGGGCTAGCATATATATATATATATGTACTGTAAGTGCTACCGGACAACTGGATCCGATCCGGGAGACACCTTTTTTTTGGGGGGGCCTACACTTCGATGTACTTCGATATTCGCAACTTCCCAAATCCATGCGCCATGCATGGTGCAAAGTCGTGACATGTGACATTCCCTTTTGGGATTTGCTGCAACAAAAATCGGATTTAGATTCCAAGGTCATAGGTCGCCGCACCCAACACATAATGCCAAATAAAAGGCTACATACCAATTTATCCTGAAGAGATTCAAGCGGTGATGATTTTTGGGCATTTTATTGCATTTACCGAGGTGCTCGACTGGCATACTTGCAGGTTGTGTTTGCTCCTAAGACGTTGGTGAAGTTCAAACGTGCTTGCGTCGCTGAAGTCCGGCAACTGAAAATCGCGAAGTCGTTGCCCCTGACTTTGAGCGGAAAGAGCTGCACGAATCTTATTGCATACCAACTGGTGGTTGAGAGTGCTGTGTCTTGTGAAGCTGGTGATGACCACGCAACGATGGAACTGTCTGGCTCGGGGTACTCCACCGCGTTCACACAAGAGGATCTCGAATTGGTGAACTTGCAGAGCGACCAGGTTCATCAGAAGCTCTCATCTGCAACCCTGGAAGAGACTCCAAATGGAATCCTTGCAAAGCTCTTTGCCCCTGGGATATGTGCAGAGCTCAGTGACCTTTTTTTTCCAGCTTCAGAGATCTTCAGACCACTCGCGACAAGTACATTGTGAATATATGCATGACATCTACATACCTGGTCTTTGTTTGGACTATGTTGCTCTACTAAATGCATATCATTCAGAACATGTCTGATGACATCAGAGCTGTTCCTACCGTTTGTTTCAATCAACCTAGACTCATTTATGCTTTTCTTGACCTTGGACAACAAGACAAGACCTTTCGGACTAACAGGGCCAATGCTATCCCATGTCAATCTTGCTTAAGTCGGAATCCAATTGCTGCAGTGACAGACACTGTTTTAAAAAGTTTCTTGGCACTTGGCCGAGGTGCTCGAGTAGCCTACCTATCAGCCCTTTTTCCAGAAAAAAGCGGCTATAGGCTTCCAATCTGGCTGCAGCAAGGACAAGACTCCAGTCACAATTACGACAACGACAACGACAACTGCAACAAGCACAACCAGTACAACTACGAAAACTAGCACCAGCACCATCACAGGCACCAGTACCACAACAATCACTGGAACAAGCACATCGACAAGTACAGGCACTAGCACCACAACCATCACAGGAACCAGCACTACAACCATCACAGAAACCAGTACCACTACCATCACTGGAACCAGTACCAGTACAAGCACTGGCACCAGCACAACAACCA